ATTAATTTTTTTTGGAAGACTTATATTTGCTACGCCAATCATTGTTTTCATTGCTTGATAATCATCTGTTTCATTATTATCAATTAATTCTTGAAAACAATTTCGATTTGAATCATATGCTTCTCAAAATAATCTATTTTCTGTTCTATGGTCTCAATATGCACCAACGTATGAATATCAAAACTCTATTTTCAAGTATTTTCTTCACAGTCCATCAGTTAGCGTATAAATGGTTTGAAGTAGAAGTTCTGATCAATTCGAATAAAGTAGAAAACTGCTGAAAAAGCGATGGTTATTCACGCAATATGATTAGTTTTGGCGATATTTCAGTAATTTCAAAACACTAAATCAAATTTTGATAGATATTTCTGTAGCTGCTTTTACGAGCTATCGATTATACCGAAAATAATTTGTAGTAAAAAATTTTTAAAGTAGAAAAGACAAAATACCATACTACATTGTCTTTTCTTGCATAAATCCTATCAAGATTTACCAACACAAGACAATTCATAGTGAGTTTTTTCATCACAGTTTTCTATTACACTATAAATAAGTTTTAAAAGAAAAATCGTTTTTATAAATGACAGAGCACTTCTTTTTTTTTGTATATTTTGTTATTGTTGATAAGAGAGAAAGACACAATCATACTACTGAATATTTTAACTAAATTTGTTTATGATATATGGCGTCTCTGCTCATTTGCAAAGAAATAGAGAAAGAAAAAAGTAAGAAGTTATTAATTGTTTGTTCTATCATTTTGTGAATTATATTCAAGCAGCATAGATTATTTTAAAATTCAATTTTTAATGCAAGTTATGTACACTAAATGAAATGTTACTATTTTGCTTCTATAATCGAGATAATCAAGTCAATTTTATATTTATTCGCAGCATAAAGTTTAGTCTCATTTTAGAAAAATAACTTACAAAATCTCTTGACAACGAGAATCATTATTTGCTTTTATTCTATTTCATTCTTTCCCAGGTTTTTCATCCCTTATTACTCATGTATTATTCATCGAAAAAATGTAAGATGTTGCGTACATTTTCGTATACTCTATAGTCACACTTTTTTTTATGATTGTAAACTTGTAATAATGAAAGTCATCGTAATCTTTCGAAAAATAACCTTATACAAGTGCATTCAAATGGCCTTCAAAACTGTAGTTAGCGAGAGAATGATTGATGGTGAATATGCAAAATACTAATTGAGCGCCATATAGTAAAAAGTAAAGTCCACTCTGATATCGATGAAAATATTGTTTTCTTCGAAACTTCTTCATAAAAATTCATAAGAGTATATTTAATTTAACCATGAAATACCATAACAATCATTCAAGAATTTATTTTTATTCTTTGGTTCAAATATAAATCGTCGGCGTTCTTATAAGTTTTTCATACATTTTAATTAGATGCTACAATTGTAAAGGATGGGAACGTATAAGATTAACGATCGATCCACTCTCGTTTTCGAGTATTAACGGTTGTTATTAACGTATGTCGTAAAAACGTATTTCGAATTCGATTCTGGGTATAATCAGATACTTTTTACACTAAATCCCATTAATTCCTCGACAACAGCATCCCAATCAACAACACTCACATGACAGGTAAAACGTGTTTTGCTCAACTTCATGACGCTAATGCGGCTAACTAAATACATGATTAGATAGCCCTTGAAATTTTCTACAAACTGAGTTAGTCCAAATATCTTGAATGGTGGCGCCAGTCACCAAAGGCCTGCAAAAGAAGCGTTCTAGTACCGAAAAAAATTTGTAGAACACTCCTGTAGTCATTATTCTGCCACAATGACAAATTACATATTTTTTCAAAAATATACCATTGGAGAGCCCTTGAAATTTGCTGCAAGCTGAACTAGTTACAGAGAGGCTTTTCACTGGAATATTTTGATAATTTTCACCGCCTTTGTAGCCATGCCTACATTACCTACGGTTATGTGAAAACGCACTATAGACAGCCGGGAGATATCTAACTTTGCTCAGAATTGTTTGCTCTATCGGCTGCATGTTTTGCAAAAATTTTTTATGACAAAAACCAAACACTTGGTTTTCTGATCTTCAGGTGTTCCAGAAACCCTACCATCAAATTTTCTCATAACATGGTGATATGCGTCTCATCCGATAGAAAAATCTCCTGACTATTCAAAACAGTATTCAGATTGGCTCCAGCCTTTACTGAAACATCAAAAACAATGAAGTTCTTATGATTATGACATACTGTGCTGCATATATAACACCACAAAACTTCTTTTGCATATCTTTAATGACTGGCCCCACCTTTCTAGACATTCTGATCAGCTCAGTTTGCAGAGAACTTTAATGGCTATCTAACCATGTATTTAGTCAGTTGTATTAGCTTCATAAAGTTGAAAAAAATACGTTTTACTTATCGTGTGGGTGTTGTTTTGAGGATGCAGACTGGGATGCCATTGTATAGGAATTAATGGGATTTTAGTGATAAAAGTATCTGATTATACCCAGAATCGAATTTGAAATACGTTTTTACTACATACGCAACCGTTATCGCGCGAAAACGAGAGTGGGCCGATTGTTAACCTTATGCGTTTTCGTCCTTTATAAATGATGGCATAGTCATGTATAAACCAATGGTTGACCATAGCTGTACGCTTGGAAAGAAGTTAAAATCGTTCTGTTTAATATTGTCAGTTAAATTTTCTTTTCTTTTAGAAAAGATTACAAGTTCACTGATGTGAGAAATCTGGAATACTTTTAATCATGTAATAGTTTCGAATTGAGCAGAGAGAACTGATTGAGTCTGACTTGAAGGATAGTTAGAGTTTAGAGTATTTTAGATATCGAGAATATACGACCTTTGAAGCAAGACCCCAATACTTAGTATAGCCTTTTCTATATATTTACAGCTTACTTCATATTCTAGTTTAAATGTATAGCAACTTGTGTGACCATTCTACGATATGTCATGGACATCAAAACAATTTTCAAACGCAGTTCAATAATACTTCTTCGAATCTAACCCTGCAGGTATTGTTACTGTTAATTTGTAAATGCATTTTAGAAGTTGTGCTATCGTTGATATAAATGTACCTGATACTCGCAATTTAACGATCGAAACCGGTGCAAATATTTTCGTTCTTTCTTCCAGACAAAATTCGTCATTTCTCTGTTTGCTAATTATGCGCACTCGATACGTACGAGAACAAAGTTGTTCATGATTTCGAGCAAACATTTGTCTTCTTCCTAAATAGGTCAATATACCGAGTGCATATTCACAATCAAGATCTTCAACAATGTATTCTGTTGCTGGCTTTTCCAGTACCGAAAATGCACTAAATCCATTAGGTAGTTATAATCTAATACATTCGAGTGGTTTAACCAGTATTGCTGATGAATTAGATTGTCTAATAGGTTATACAAATGGACAACTAACGAGAGATGCGTCAATTCGAAAGTGGCTTCAAAATTTGAGAATGAAAGGCGGCTCCGAAGACTTGATTCAAACATGTATAAATGACGTCCTACAGATATTTGAGCTAACAAATGTACATGTAAGTAATCATGTGTAATGAGTGATCTTGTTTTTCTCCATCTTAGTCGTTATTAGTAGGATATGGCAGGAATCAAAGACTTAATATCAAAAGAATTAACTCGAAAAGTGTTTCCGAGAAGCTATGATGATATGTCAACTAGTGATAAAAATGATATATGTTTGCCATCATTTTTCTCATTCCGCAGTAATAATCGACCATTTGATCAATCAATTACTGATTTAAACCTGAACAACGGTTTATCACTGTTGCCACAAAATTCATCTGATACTTTTGGTGGAATGTTATTTCAAAATGATACAGTCGATCAGGCAGCTGCACTCAATCTTCAAACATATCGTAGTAAGATAAAAAATGTTTTTCTAAAATGAGAAGATATAATGTTGGTCTTTTAAATCTTTAGATTTCAATCTGCCTACGGAACAAATGCTAATAACTGAACCACATGGTAAAGTATTAATTGATTTTTAGATAAACTCAATATCTTCTTTGTCCATCTTCATCTCATTTCAGATGATTTCTCTGAAGAACAGTATAGCATACCGGAAACAGAAGATTCTTCACATACAATTGATCAAATCAGGTTAGAAAAACCTGTCGAGCGAGAATCTCGTGTACGATATGTTTCCGATTGGCTTTCAATGGATAATAAACCACGAAATCCACGTCATGTTCATGATGTTGATGGGAACATCTTAAAACTATTGGTAAGGCGTCTACACTCTTCAAAATTATTTTTTCTCACAGTATTCTTTTTAGTTTTCAAACGATATCTATGAACAATATTTGGCACAAAATCCCGACAAAAATGTTTTTATGATGATATATCGTATAACAGTTCGACATTCATCAACTGGTAGTCACTACATACATCCAGATGAATTTCTAAATCCTTTGAAACTTAAGGATCCACATGATAGCAATATTCCAAGTACAATCAATCCAATCTTTATACCCATTGACACCTTGAAAAAGGATGGCAAATCAGGATTAATGTCAATGGGGTATGTACTTATCGAAGGTATCAACTTTACACTAAATTTCCTTTTTATTCAAGTATAAAAATAATTACAGTCTCAACAATACGCTCGGATTTAAAACACGTGCAACAACCGTTAACAAGGTTTCCAACTACAGAAAATGATCTAATACCGCAAACATCGAGTATGAGAATTTCTTGAAGTTTTAAGCTAACTTGGTTAAACATTTTTCAAAAGTTTAGATAAATATTTTAAAAAACTATCAGCTGCACAATTAATTAAACAATATGAATTGGATAAAAGTCAATTTGCTTTCTGCTTAGCGAGAAAACAGAGTGACATTGAACAAGTGTGGCTTACAAAACCGTATATATCTACCGTGACTCAGAAAAGTAGGAACATTCTATGTGAAATGCTTTCGATCAAATGTTTTTCTTTTAGAGTCGAGACTACAATAACTTTAAATGCCAAGAATATTCGAAACAAAATATCTTACATAAGATGGGTGCAAAAGACGTTAAATTATCCAGTAATTTTTGAGTGTTAGCGTATTAGGACAAGATCAGTTCACACAGCTCGGAAAAAATACTTTTCGCAAAAATGTGGCTTCTACTCTTTTACCTCTCATTGATTCAACACTAAAATATCACTAAAAAATAGAAGTGACTTAGCTAACTATACGAAACTGAGCAATTGGACAATACAGTTGATAGTCATAGTAATTCATTGCCTAATTTCTAACGAAACTTATGTAGTCAAATCGCGAATTTGTATTTTTTGTAAAAAAAACGATAAAAATACCGTTAGGTTTCTACAGAACATGAAAATCGTGGAATTCTGATACAGCAGTGTCAGTGCGTTACCGGTTTTACTCTTTTGTTTTATCCGATAATATTTCACAAGGCATATCGAAGAATCTTGGAAGCGTCTTGTTTTCTAAAACAAAGTATGTTCTTCAAATTCTATTACTTAGTTTTGATTAGAAATACTCGACTCTTTTTACGTTATATTTAAACTATCAAGAGCTCCCAAAATACGTTCATCTGTTTTTATAGAGTTCTTGTTATTTTAAATATAGCGTAAACAGAGTCGAGCATTTCTGTTTTCTGAAATATTACAAGAGTTGTGAGTTTATTAATATTAGCGGAAAATAGTCTGTAAACTCCCAGTTTCATAAGACTCGCTTTCTCTAAGTTTTGAATTCTTCTGCGAAATAAACAAACATTGCCACCGGATTCGCCGTGGTCGACTACGTATGTTTCGTGCGGTTATAATGTCATTTTAAGTTATCCAGTACGAGTCCTAAGGCTCCAATGAAATCCAATAACAAGCTTGAACCATTAAAAATCAAGGTCTCGCTGAGCTTCCATTTTGAGCGAACGCTCTGGGTTATTCTTTTATGAAAAAAACATTCGTGTTTGAAGTTGCTGAGCTATGGTGTGGTTTCCTAAAGATTATTTGAAAATGTCAGTGTGCTTTCTTTAAGTTCTTACCGAGACTATATTTTCTTTTGTATATAAGTACACCTTTTATTCTTGACAATTTTTTTCTTTTTTCTATTGTTAAATAATAAAAGTTTATTTTCACCTTGTATATATGTGATAAAGAAGATTTCTGACGGTAAAAACACAATGTTTTATGAATTCATCTCTTCAGACTCAAGGTTCACACTTTTAATATCACACGTGTTTATAGAGAAACTAGATAAAGAAATTCTTTGAAATATTAATGAGATGTGAACCATCCAGGATGTGAGCATTCTTCTTCTCACTCTGCATTCGAACTTTTATATAATATTTTATAGATAATTTTAAAATGTGTTTAAACTCGAATTGAGACTAAGTATATACGAAAAATCACTTACGAGGGAACATCCCGAACTGTCTCCTTTGATTTTGGAGACATACATGGGTCTGGTAGAGCTAAGTGCGCTGATCACAAATATGATACTTTTAGCTCGCTGCTGAGTTAGAGTAGTTTTATTTTACTTTGGACAAAAAATGACCTATTTCCGATTGATCACAGTATTTGGTAATTTCCCGGTTCGACAGAAACACTTTTCGACACCGTCAAATTTTGAGCGAAAAATCCGACAGTGTCGAAAGCTGCCTGTCGAAAAGTAGAACTGTCGAATGTAGGCATGCAACGATTACGGTTAACCATAACCGGTTATAACCGCTTTATAACGTAGTGTATACTTGGTTTTTAATTCGTTGATATCGGTTTACATTAGCAGTGGACAAGGATAGTCTTTGTCCTGACGTTATAGTGCACCTACTAATAAATTTATAAAAATTCTAGGAAATCGGTAATCGGCTATGGAAAATCCGAAAATGAGTATGAGAGACCTCTAGGGCGCATTCTGTTGGTCAGAAACCTACTTTCGACTTGAGTGGATTAAAATGAAACAGAATAGACACTCGACTATGCGGGTTCGGAAAATAGCATTGAAAGTCACGAGTGCAGCAATCGAACGTCGACACAAGAACGTGTTTCTTACGAGATTCCGTTACGGGCCTAGGGTTCCAGGCTTCCATGGTTCACTTTCACTATGCACCGCCCGTTGTACGAAAGAAGTGTTTGACCGAAACCTTCAAAATAAGCGAACAAGTAGTGCTTGCCTCTGCACGAATACTGTGTTTGTGAGATCTCGGAATCTGACAGGACGTTTCTAACCAATAGAATACATCCTAGAGGTTTCTCATACTCATTTTCGGATTCCTCATAGTCGATTACCTATTTACTAGAATTTCATAAATTTATTAGTAGGTGCACTGTAACGTCAGGACAAAGACCATCCTTGTCTACTTCTAATGTAAACTGATATCAACGATCTAAAAACCAAGTATACACTAAATTGTTCTAAAGCGGTTATTTACGGTTACGGTTATTTGCGGTTGAGGGATGTCATAATCGTGATACCGCCCGTATCCACGTTTCGGAACACAAAAAACGTGATACGATACTTCTCCGTACTTTTCTCAACATACCGCAACTTTGTATTAAGAAGTCTCTTCTTGCGTGTGTTGTCCTTTTAGTTGAGCGATATGAGGATTTCGAGGGTTTTGCAATATTACGGCCCCCACGAATCCGATGTAGTTGTGGTTGAAGCAGAATTACAATTCTATCCGAATTCAACCAGATATTCCGCGCAAATCTAGGAACAGTACTACTTGAAATGTGTTGTTACGGAGGACCTTTAGACAATTATGAAAATAACGAACTGACAGATTCTGGGTTAAGTACGAGCGGGTAGCGATACAGCGAATTTTGCAGTTTTCTACGCCCCACTTATCATTTGATCTCCATATGAAGGTAATTCAGCAAAATCGTCAAAGTTCTTATATCCCTCAACTATATTGAAGATACTGAGAAGCGTACGATACGGATACTGCAATACAGCGAAACCCTCAAAATCCTCATATCTCTCAACTAAAAGGAGAACGCACACAAGAAGAGAATATGGATACCGTAATACAGCAAAATCTTCATATCCGTCAGCTATATAGAAGATACGGAGAAGAGGAGGATGCAGAATCGGCAATACTCCGATGTTCCGTAATGGGATTGAGCCTAGGTGTTGTTGAATACGTGCCGTAATGGGATTGTGCGAATGTGAATAATGTATCTGCAAAAAACTGTGATCAATCAGAAATAGGTCATTTTTTGACCAAAGTAAAATAAAACTACTCTAACTCAGCAGCAAGCTAACAGTGGCAGCTAAAAGTATTATATTTGTGATCAGCGCACTTAGCTCTACCAGACCTCATGTATTTCTCCCAAATCCTCGGAGGAACACTTCGAGATGTTCCGTCGTTAGCTAAATTTATAATAATGCTAATAAACACGATGATATTGTTTTTAAGATAGTTATAATTGTTCCGATAAATCAGAGACTATAAAAAGAACTTTGGTAAATCGAAGTTGTCAAAACCATTTAGCTAGGCATCTGAACGAATTTGTAACGCAATGGCACAGAAGTCCATTGTCTTCCAGATTTTAGATAACTCAAAATTCCTGCGACTTTTTCAATTGTATGAGAAAACATCTTTATAACTCACGAGGGAACCTCCCTAGGTAATTAAAAGCTTTTCGATTCAGACTATTTTCATCATGTAGGGAATAGTCAGTAGTGAGAAACCCCAAGTTGGTTTGGGCCCATGCGCCTTTTTGACGGAGATATGAGTTAATTAATGAAAATACCATTAATAATAATTAATTAATATCTCACGACCAT